CCCAACCTCCCTTGCACTTAGTTGTGGCCTTGTAACCAAGTTCTAGTTAAGGGGTCATGGTCAGTAGTGGTGGGCCCCACATTAGGGCTTGTCCCTAAAAACCTCTATGTGTTCTCTCCATGGTGTTTTCCCTTTCATGACAACCTTGGTTGGCATTGATGATGTCAGAATCACAGAAGAGAGGCACGGCCAATCATAGGAACTTGTTCTGGACTTGTATTAGTCCATTTCTGTTACTAGAATGAAATACCTGAAGTTGGATAACTACAAAGAAAAGAAGTTTATTTAGCTCACAGTTCTGGATGAAGGGCATGGTACCAGCATTTGTTTAGCTCTGGAGAGAACCTTAAAGCAGATATCATCACAATGATGGGAGAGGAAGAGATGACATGGTAAGACAGGAAACCAGAGAGGGATTCAGAGCGGCCAGTAATGACCTCCCAGTAGGCCCCATCTCTTTCTTTCTTTTTCTTTCTCTCTCTGTCTCTCTCTCTCTCTCTTTCTCTCTCTCTCTCTCTCTCTCTCTCTCTCCTCTCTCTCTCTCTCTCTCTCTCTCTCATGATGTCAGAATCACAGAAGAGAGGCACGGCCAATCATAGGAACTTGTCAGGGACTTGTATTAGTCCATTTCTGTTACAGAATGAAAATACCTGAAGTGGATAACACAAATAAAAGAAGTTTATTTAGCTCACAGTTCTGGATGAAGGCATGTAACCAGCATTTTGTTTAGCTCTGGAGAGAACCTTAAAGCAAGATACATCACATATGATGGAGAGGATAAGATGACATGGTAAGACAGGAACAAGAGGGTTCAGAGCGGCCAGTAATGACCTCCCATAGGCCCCCATCTCTTCCTTTCTCTTCTTCTCTCTCTCTCTCTCTCTCTCTCTCTCTCTCTCTCTCTCTCTCTCTTCTCTCTCTCCTCTCTCTCCTGTGTGTGTGTAGTCCTAGGGACTGAATTTAGGGCCTTCTACTTGGCTAGGCAAGCACAATAGCACTTGAACCACACCCAGTCTTTTTTTTTTTTTTAAAGTTTGTTTTTTGGGTAGTGTTTCTGCTTTTGCCTGGGCCAGCCTTGAACTGAGACTCTTCTACCTCTACTTCCCAAGTAAGTAGGATTACAGGCATGGACCACCATGCCCGGTTTGTAGGCCCTACCTCTTAAAGGTCCCACCACCTCTTAACATTGCTACACTGAAGACCAAGCTTCCAATACACAACATTTGGGGACCAAACCACAGCAAAACCTTAGCAGGACTCTCCACAATAAGAAATAAGTTGTAGGGATTTACCTGTTACTGCAGCCTAGCACTACATTTACCAGAACAAATGTCCAAGACCTGTTTTGCCAGAGAGTAGCCTTTTCTCATCTTATACACACTGTTATTTTGCTATCTACTGAACACTTATTCAGGAAGTGTCAAGCCCCTTACATTAACACTCAATTAATTCTCCCACCAACTCTTTGATATCCTTTTCTATTATCATCTCCATCTGACAGATGGAAAAAAAAAAAAAAAGGTTCAGAGTGGTTAAATCACTTGCCCAAGGCCACATGGCCAGCCAGTGGCTGATCCATGATTAGAATCAGGTCAGTCTAGGTTTGGACTTCTAGTGCTTGATCATGATGCTCAACAGCTGCTTCCCTCAGCCACTCTCTGTCATCACGTTGGTGCTAGGTCAGAGCTGGCCATACCTTCAGAGCGGGATGGACGGGGCACAAGCCTGGGTTTATCTGGAAACTGCTCAGCTGGGAGGTGATTTTCCAAAGGATGTTTTAAAACATCCTTTGCTACTGGGTGTCACAGGGCTGTAGGGCTTAGTCAGAACTTTTTCTAACTACAGTTGGAAGTGGAGAGAGAACATGAGGAGGGGTCAAAAACAATCTCTGCAAGACAAGGCAGGGACAAAGACTCAAGGCGGCTGTGTTTGAGAGGAGCCTGACTCAAGACGAGATGTGAAGATGGTCTTTTGCCAGCAGGGTGGCACCGGGCATCCATCATGACCCCCAAGACCTTTCCTGGGATCTGGGGTGAGTCAGTGGCAATGCTGGCATCCAGTCCCTTGCAGCTCAGTCAAGTTGGGCAGGCACACAGAGGCGTGCCTGGGATATATGCCGTGGGCACACAGAGCAGTTGGCCATTCAGGTTGTGGCCAAGTCCGAGAGGCCTCCATGGCTGTGAAGGAGTGTGTGAGCATCTGTTCAGCGGGTTGACAGGACAGAGTGCATTTAAGGCCAGAGAAAGAGCATGTTCAAAGACCTCCATGATGTAGCATGACGGACTCAGGAAGTCAGACTGGCCTGGGGCACCTGAGCACCTGGGAAGGGGTGCTGTAAAGGTAGAAGCAGTGCTGTGAAGGTAGATAAGGGATGATGTTTGTGGCTGGATGAGAGCTCAGGGTGACAGGGAGTCATCAGAGGAGACAGGTGGTTCTGGTGATCATAAAGAAAGCCTGGTGCTAAGACTGATAGAGATAAGGAGGCTGCAGCAAGGCTAGGAGGGGGATAGAAAGTGAGGATGTACCATTACCACAGGCAGTGAGAATACAGCTCTGGGGCAAGGTACATACTGGTGTAGAGACCAGACATCACTGGAATTTTTGGGTAGAGACTTGACTCCTGTCAGAGGAGAAAAACACAAGGAGCATCACTTTTGTGTGTGCACTACTGGAGGTTGAACACAGGGCATTATAGATAAGCACTCTACCACTGAGCCGTGCTCCCAGCCCTTTTTGTTTTGTGTTCTGTTTTTGAGATAGGGTTCTGCTAACTTTGTCCAGGCTGTGGGCTTCCTCAGTAGCTGGGATTTCAGGCATGTGCCACCATGCTTGGCTGGTGCTAATGCCCTCTCTTTGGAGAACAGTCTACATTCTGCAGAGGTAGGCACTGGAAGGTCTGCTGAAGAACAGAGCTTATCCCAGTCAGAAAGGAGCTGCTGAATGCAGGGATACATTTGGATTAAAAGCTTTTAGTCCAAAGGCATTGGTTGTTGGTCTGGAAACATACTTGTAGTAAGGTCAAAGCCTTCCAGGAGCCCAGTGACATCTGTTCCCGAAGCACAGGTTCATGTACATACGTGATGTTCCCTGCTCAGTGAGCATGGGCCCCTGGGTGCAGGGATATCGTAAAGCAGTTCAGTATTGTAAGAGGTGGCCTCAACTAATAGTTTCAGAAAAACTGTGGCCCTCCTCTATCACTCCAACGCCTTAAGACTTGGGTGCAGTACAGGGCTCTCTCATCACAGAGGCCTGGGCCATTCACCCCCACGGGGCCTGGCTACCCCAGAGTGCCTAGGAATCCTGCTGTCTGTGGTCATCACTGCCATCTGTGTGTTGGAAAGATGACTTGAGATGCTCTCAGGGCCATAGAGATAAAGTAGAACATGGTCCCAATGTAAGATCGAGTGTCAGAATAACGAGGACTCCAAGCCCTGTGGAGTCCGCAGAGGCGTGGTCTTTTGAAACTGGTGTTCTACCACCTCCAACATACTGCATGGCGCCCGACCTCAGATTTGGGTAGATGGGAGTCCTGTCTGTTTGGCTCAGTGGTCTGAGCATAGATGGTCCATAGGGAAGGCCTCAGAGGCCCCAGAACAGGCTGAGACCCCTTTGCATCCCCTCTTCCAGCACCCTGTGCTAGCCCTCATGATTTAGATGATGGAGTTATTTATTGTCTCTCTCCCCACCAACTCGGGAGGGCAGGGACCACATCTGCCCAGTGTAGCTCCTGAAGTACACACATGAATGGGTAGAATGCTTAGAAGTAAGCATTTGCTGTCCTAGGAATACGTCAAGGGCAGCCCTCCATCCACTTGCAATCTGGTGGGAGAGATGGAGTGTGTACTCATCATTATTTTGGCCTGTGGCACATAGAGCCCCAGAATGGGGCAGAGGGCCCCAGCTCTCGGGAATGGATTGGCAGAGGGCAGAGAGCAAGTGTAAGGGATGAAGGACATCCTACAGAACACAACAGTTGCTGCAAAAGCAGGGAGGAAAGTAGAAGGGCTGGGGGAACTCTGTGGCTCCCTGTGTCTACGTGTAGACCACAAGTGGCAAGAAATGAAGCTGGACAGAGGTGCTGAGCCTGGATTTCTAGAGCACTGCCTGTCAGCCCATCATCCTGACTTTATCTTGGGCCAGGGCTAAGACATATTCTAATGTGTGCATGCAAAGATTACCCTGCTCACAGGCAGGCAGTTGCTCAACCCATGGGAAGGTGGGTTGGAGGAAAGCAGGGTAAGTGTGGGAGACATTTATAGGGGATGTCTGTGGCCACAGGTTTCAGCAAGGGCTGAGTTGGATCTAGTCACAGGGTTATTGAGAAGCATCCTCTGGACTGGCAAGGATGGAGAGGAGCAGGAAGGGAGAAATGCCTCTCCCTGTTCTCTAAAGACAGCAGACAGCCTTCCAGGGCACTGGAGGAGCTGGGGTGGGGGTGGCTCTTATTACATTCAGGCTGCATGACCATCACAGGTCAGGGTTGTAAGACACTGCCATTTTTTTTTTTTTAATAGTACTGGGGTTTGAGCTAGGCCCTCAAGCTTGCTAGGCAGGCACTCTACCACTTGAGCCTGGGTGTCTGGTTTTACATCTTCATTCTACGTGCAGGCAACACTGTCTTCTTTTTACTGCAATTCATTATCCCTATCTCAAGTGCATGAAAATGCAATTATTAAACAAGTATTAGAATGTAATAAAAAATCCTATTTTCTTTTACATAGTGAGGCATAAAGGCAAAGCACTTAAGAGTGGTGATTGTCAGTATAACATTTAAATGGACGTACCAATAAAATTGATGTCATGGGATAAAATGTGCAAAGCTGTGCCTTTCTCTTTCCAGGGGCCATGCCACTCCAGCAGAGCACATAACTGGATGACTGGGCAGCTGCACACAGTGGCATCTGCTGGCCAGACCTGTGCCTAGCAGGGGACCACAGTGTACCTGGGCAGGGGAATGTGCAGTGTGCACATCCTAATGGGTGTGCTTCCTGTCTTCACAGTGTGCTTACTGACCCGCTTCCAGGGCCACCGCCATGTCGAGCCGTGGTGGGAAGAAGAAATCCACCAAGACCTCCCGGTCAGCCAAGGCAGGAGTCATCTTTCCTGTGGGACGGATGCTGCGGTACATCAAGAAGGGCCATCCCAAGTACAGGATTGGAGTAGGGGCACCGGTGTACATGGCTGCTGTCCTGGAATACCTGACAGGTGAGTGCCCAAGTCTGTCATAGACACCATAGACTTAGATGGCAGCAGTTCTGATAGTTTTCCAAGGATAGAGAGGACCTTTCCCTGTTTTATTTTGAAGCATTTCAAAACTATGGAAAAGTCAAAAGAATAGCACAATGATTATTTTCACCTAGATTTACCACCAGTTGTTAACGTTTTGGCCTGGTTGCTCGCTCTCTCTCTCTCTCTCCCCCCCTCCCTCCCCCCCCCTCTCTCTGTATGAGTATTCAGAGATGCTTCTGTATTTATTTCTGGCTGCTATAAAGTCTTCCCTCAGTTGTCTTGATAGCGTTCTTTATGGTTTTGCTTGGTTTCCTTTTCTTGTTCAGATCCACCTCAGGATCATCATTGCATTTGGCATTCAGGTGTGGCTAGTCTTATTTCATCTTGAGCAGTTCTCCCAAGGAGAAATCCCTTAATAGGAAGCAGGGGCATTATAGTTCTTGTGCAGTTTATATGTAGTGTGACCTAGGGTGAGTCACTTAACCTTTCTGAGCTGCACTTTTCTTACAATCCAAATGAAGACAACTGTCCTTGCTCTACCAATTCTACGCTGCTATGAGAGCCAAAGGGGCTGTGTTTGAGCATGATGGGAAAGGCACTGACAAACCCAGCCAGCCTGTGTTTCTTGGCTTCTGAACACCATAATCCACCTGCCACTAGAGTATTCACAGACACTATCATTAGGCCATGTACCAAAGTTTCATTTCATTTCTTCTCCGTAGCTTCCTCTATTTTGTTGGCAGTATATGATCAGGGAATGCCATCACTTCATCACATCTCAGACAGTTACTACTGTACAAAATGTCTGCATGTGTCCCTTGTCTGTGTCTGGATGGTTCTGAATCTGAGCCCAATACTTATGGGGTTACGGTCAGAGGATCCTTTCTCATGGGGGTTGGACTCTGCTGCACTCCCCTTGTCCCAACCCCAGCTATCACGCTGTGGTAGTGGGCACACCAGATAGTGGGAATGGTCAGGGCAGCCCATCTTTTCCATCTTGGAGTTGGCAAAGGCACTCAAAGCATTTCCCAATTCTGGCATCAGCCACATCAGCTCTTGCCTGTTAAGGAATAAGATACTTTTCAAGTTTTATAAAGTCCTTCCATCAGGGCTGTGACTGGCTGGCCCTGAGCCATTTCCTCTGCCTGCATACAACTCTGAGTCTTTGGCATAACCTTGTCCAATGCCTGCCACCTACATGGCCTGGCCTGAGTGACCTCAGGAAACTTTCCTGAGTGGTTAGTGCCATGCTGTCACTCCTACAGTCTCTGGGTCTTGTCTCCTGCTAGGAGAGGAGCCAAGCAAGCTCTGGGGCCAGGACCAGTGAGAGCAGCCTTCATCACAGTGCTGCATCCCCACACTAACAGCTCTGGAGGTGACAGCCCTCAGCCAATTAGACTGGGATCTGTGGAAGTTCTGGGCATCGGCCTACCCTCAGCTTTTTTGAGGGGCCCTGAGTGAGAGGAGAAGTGGACCTCTTTCTACTCTGTTCTTTGCTTTTGTTTCAATGAAGATCTGTTCTCATTCACCCCACACACTTACTGAGCCCCTGCTGTCTGCCAGGCACTATGCAAGGCTCTGCTGTGTAGAACAGGACAGTTGGGGCATGGAGGGGCTCTGCCCTGTGGAGCTCACAGTCTAATCTGGGAGAAGGACAACCAGCCAACCCAGACAGTTATAGACCATTACAAGTGCCACGTGCACGTTGGGCGTGAACAGGCCAAAGGAGAGCCCAGGGGGTACTTAGGGTTCCACTGTGGTTCTACATTGTGGTCCTGGGTCTCAGAGATGCCACCTCTTGTAGCCTTGAGCCCCCCTGCTGTAAAATTGTCATCACAATTACCGCCTCAGAGGGCAGCTCCAAGGCTGAATAGCAGCTGCATTCTGCATGTTCTGCACGCCCACAGGTTATCACAGAGTAAAGCACAAGAGAGGCAGAAAGTCCCTGGGAATCCTGTTTTGGCTGCTGAGCTGACTGGGTTGCCCACTCCTTCTAGGGATAGTGAGGAAGCTGTCACTGCCTGCTTGGGCCTGTTGTCCTTTCAGCTGGTTCAAACACACCAGGCCTCTTGTAGGAGGCCTTGGCAGCTGCAGGCCTGCTCCATGTTGTTTCAAGCAGCCTAGAATTCTTTCTCTCAAAGCCTGTCTCCCTGACACCTCAAGATGCCCCCTTGCCAGGCTTTTCTGTCTGCTCTCAAACGCTTTTGCTCTCCCAAGCTCCTGTCACATTCACAGAAACGGCAAAGGATTTTCTGGGTTACTCAATTGCTGAGTGGGCCCAGCCCTGGCCTATGTTATACCAGAGCCAAGGACAGACCAGGTCAGGAGGATGTGAATGGGTGGCAGCCCTGTAGACCAGGGGCCATAGAAGCCCAATTCCAGGCTCTCCAAGGGGCACATGTTCACAAGTCAAGGACTACTCAAGAGTTGCTCCCCATCCATGCCAAGGGTGGAGGCATGTGGGAAGGAGGTAGCAGCCTGACACCTTGCTCTGAAACCTGAAATAGGCATCTGTTTCTCCTCTTGGGTGTGGAGCCCAGTCATTTCCTGAGCTTAGAAGGAGAAGGCACTGTGTGGAATAAGAATGAGTCTGCAGTGAGACAGCTCCATCCCTAATCTCTGCATCCAGAGCCCTCCCTGAGACATATGGTACCTTCTGTTTATCCCCCTGTGGTTCTCCTGCCCTCTAGCCCTGGGGGTGTTGTGAAGACCAATACCACACATAGAGCATGTGAGAGTTCACACTCAGTGATCAAAAAGTAACAGTACAGGAAGCTCACCTCATTTGTGGATTTATTACACAGTTTTGACCAAGTGCAGTCAAAAAGTAAAAATAAAAAATAAAAAAAAATTTCAAGAACAAAAATTTTCAGTTCCCGCATGTGCATTGCACAGCTCGGTGGACGTAGAATTACCAATATTACCGTCAGTTGTGTTTAAATTGTGTGATCTGCTGAGTGTTTCTCTGCCCTTAATTTTGTCAAAATGCAGTATATCTCCCAAAAAGCTATTGGTGCCCAAAAACCAAGGTAAAAGTAGTCCTCCCAAGCCAAAAAGGGCATATAATGTGCTTAATTTAAGTGATAAAGTGAAAATTTGAGATTTGTGGAAAGGCGACATGCCTATAGTCGAAGTTGGGTGGTGTTATGAGAGAAATAAAGCTAGTGTCTCAGTATTTGAGCTAAAGAGCGTGAAATAAGATCTAGTTTTTGGTGAGCAGCACTAATGTGTACAACAGTCAGTTTTGTGACAGCAACTTAGCTGACTCCATACGGCTTCAAGTTATGGATGCCCAGACCCACTGTATGTAGGTATAGAGAAATTTGAGTGATTTTAGAGAACTGAACTCTATGTATCCTGTCAATGCATGATTTTCCTCAACAGTAGCCTCCTTGGAACCATATGCATACAGATACCAAGGTCTACTATAAGTGCTATTATGAGGGACACTGAGGTGGTCAGGGACAACCTCTGCCCAGCTACCATCTATGCCCCATGGTACCATGGAACTTTTTGATTAATGATATTTTAAGGAAACTTGACTCTATGTAGCTCAGCCCATGAAACTTTCGAGCCTCTCCCTTGCTTAGCCTAGCAGTGCTGAGAACTGGGAGGTGGGATGTAAGAAATGCGTGTTACAACTTTTGTCCCCCTGTGAAGTCTGTTGTTGTTGGAGTATTTGGTGACATTTAAGTGGTATTTCACTAACACACAGGGTTCTATGGCTGAAATCAGAGAATGATCAGATTCCCACTCCCTCTTTTGAAACAGATATGTGAATGACTTTGACGAGTTCCTTAATATAAAGGAACTTATTTTAGTTTGGGACCACTGAGTAAGTGCCTTTCTGTACTATAAGACTTAGCGGAACATACTGGTGTCACTGTGAATCCCCAAGGGAAGGAAACGTGATATGTCATGGCTCCCAAGCTTCACAAAAGCTTTTAGGGAAACCCATATAAATACTGCATGTGACACAGTTTAGGGGACACTGCTGCGGGTTAAGCAGATGCGAGGTGGCATGTGAGGAGGGTTAAGGGAAGAAGCAAAATGCAAATGCACTTTAAAGAAGGAGCTTCAGTCTGGCTTGTCATGACATTGACTCACCAAGCTAGAGTAATAGCTAGGTCTTCTCCATATGAGCCTGGCAATAGACAGTGAGGCAGTCATCTGTGGAAGCTGTACAACTTAGAAGCTTATTCTTCTAAGTTGGTCACTAGTGTGCTAACTTGGAGAGGGGTGTGGTGCTAGACTCAAGATAAGAGCACCTGCCTTTGAGGAGCTTACCCTTTGCAGCCATCGACCCAAGCTCTGAGAGAACAGTCCTGGTTCCTCCATGAGCTTCCAGCTGCCAAGATGGGCACCTTCAGAATGTACATAGACCCTCCCAAAGTGACCACTGATTTGAATCAGAGCTAAGCTCTGGTCTTTGTAAAAACCTAGTGTCATACTGTTGTATTTCCATCTCTCATAAGATAAGGCTGTGCTCAGATGTTTTTCTTCTGTCTTGCTTGGAGCTAAGATGTTAAAATGATTTGCACATTTCTAATCTCCCAATCTTCTTATTTTTCAAAGCCCTGTCTCTCCCCATCCCCCATGTTTCAGACCTCGGTCTTCCCTCTCCCATCTCTCATCCATGACCAGAACCTCCATATTCTTGAAAGTATCTGGCACCCTCTCATAGTGGATGCTACAGTTTGAAGCTCCCTCTAGGTACTTGGCTAACCAGGTTTTAGGGCCAGCTCCCCTGGGTGACTTCATGGACACTTTATAGATTAGTTGAGTCTAGTCCTCAGACCTGACTGCATCTGCAACAAAACCCCAAAGAAAATGGACGGTTGTTAGAAATACACCTTGCCATCTGGTCTTGGCTAACAAAATAATTGTTCTTATTCTGTTTCAGCTTGTCTAACTTCTGGTCTCTAACCATGTCAGATGTTGCCCTACCCCTTTGATGTTGGGTCATTGGACTGTAA